CCGACTGAGATTTTTCTCAGTGAACAGAGCTGCCAAAAACCTCTCTAGAACCTTTTTTCTCATGGGAGTCCAGCTTTAATAAAATAAGTGGATTTTTGTAATTCTTTTCAAGGTCTTCTATTCCATACTCTCTTTTCCAGAATCTTTGCGTAGCAAACTGCCTTGGAAAAACAGGGGAAATGTCTGCCTCCAGAGCAAAGGGAAGGCCTGCTTTACTACACAGTAAAAAAGATCAATTTTCCTAAGTTTGGAATTATTCGCCTGTAATGCAGGTCACCTTTTGTGCAGGCATCCATCCGGACTTATCTGCATCACTCCATGGGACTTGAGGGGCAAGGGAATGTGACACAAATAGGCTGATGCCCATGCTGTTTGCTGTGCCATAAATAAGAAAATCCTTTGTCTCTGATCCAGGAATCTCATGTCTTCTCCAAGCATCCATAAAACCATGGCAACTAACTTCTCAGCTTGTAAGTAAGGTAAAAACCTCAGACCTTTCACAGTTCTGGACATTAAACTAAGTTTGTTTAGAGTTCTTGACATTAAACTAAGTTAGGGGAGCTCCTGTGTGATGGTCATGTTTGTCTCTTGGTCTGAAAGGGTGCTGATTACATAAAGATATTCAGTTCAATTTCAACTATTTTTGCACTTACCATTTGTACTTTTTTCTCTATAAATGTTTTAACTCTACAAAATTACTACTTAAAAATGTAAACAACCAGTGGAGGTCAGAGGTAGTGATTAGGACACTTAAGATTGCCAAATCAATAAAAAGCATGTGGAACTAATTATTCATAACCAAAAAAGAAGGAAAAAGAACTGAATATTATTAGCTAAAAGATAAGGGAAATGGAGGAGAGATCCAAGAGGAAAAGTATGCTTTTAGTTGAGATTTCAGAAGTAAAGAAGAATCAAGAAAGGCACATATTTGCATATATACTATTAGAAATTCAGAATTTGAAAGATAAAAAAATAATTTCTGCAATTATCTGATCAGAAAAAAGAAACAAAACTCCAGTTACCTAAAATGGAAAAAAAATTGTATTTACAGCAGACTTTGTTTTCATAATGCTAAATATCAGAACCAAATAAAGCAATAGCTACATTAATTAGAAAGAAAAAAGTTATCCAAGAATTTTGCCACCCACCAAGTTACTATCTATATATGTGGGCAAGAGAAATATATTCTCCAGTGTGGGTGAACTAAAAAAATATATCACCCTCTTACCATACTGGGGAAAAAGCATTGGAAAAAAATATTCTAGCTGCTTGAGAAAGAAATTGAAATCAATGTCCAAGAATAGGAAGACATACTGCAGAAGAGAAAACAAACCATTAAGAGAACACTGAGTACTTTTAATATGGTCATAAATCACTCAGAGATGGTTACATTAAGCATACAGTATTTTCCCACTAGAATTTCTGTATACCAGGTCTTTAAATAGCCCCATAGTAGCATACAGCTGTAGATGATTATGCCTTTTCTGGGTAAGAAATCTACCAGACTAAGAAGGAATTTTTGCTGTTGGAGTAGTGAGCCAGGAGTAGACTTAAGACCCCCTGGAACCCTTACATGCCTAACTTCTCTGCAGTCTCTACCTTATCTGCCCACCCACTCATAATATGCAAACAACTGTTATAAAGCAAGCCTGAGACATTTCCCTCAGGTGAAGCCAAAATCAATCTCTGAGGATAATCCTTCTTGAAGTCCAGTCCTTCAATTACATCCCTCTGGCATCTAGCCATCAAATTTAGGCTAATCTACCCCCAACCCCATCCACCATGTGCCTCACAAGGAACGCTAAAGGTACAGATGGATGGCAGCTTACACCCATGGAGCCACTTTCTTTCTCCATCCCTGGCTTAATATTCTGTAGAAATTAATGTGAAGGGGCCCAGTAGAGGGCCCTGGCCAGGCTCCTACAGAAGCCTCAATCTAATGTCTATCAGGTTGATTTTATTTTCTATTTAGGCTCAAAAAACAACTCTTTTAAATGATCATTTTCACTTCTCTTTTCAAATGGTTTTAAAACACACACATTCATGCACACATACACACACACACACACACACAGAGGTGTCACTTCCTGTTGTTGAATATACACTTTAACTGGGATAAGAGTTTTACATAAAACATCCTGTCTTAGTTCAGTCAGGCTGCTATAACAAAATACCATAAACTGGGTGATTCTAAGCAACAGCATTTTACTTCTCAGAGTTCTGGAGGACAGAAGAAGTCCAAGATCAGGGCGCCAGCATCGTCGGGCGAGCTGTCTTCAGGTGCAGACTTCCCTTGTACCATTACATGGTAGACGGCGCTAGGGATCTCTGTGAGGCCTGTTTCATACGGCGCTAATTCTTTTATTGGGACCTTTGCTGTAGATAGGGTCCTGCATCACCAGCATCTTGCTCTCGTCCCATGTCCATCCCAAACTGGCCTCTGAATTGAGAAACCTGTATCAAAATTATCTGGCACGGCCTGGTCAGGTGGCTCAGTTGGCTGGAGCGTCATCCTGGGCGCCAAAGGGTTGTCCTGGGCTGCTGGGTCTGCCCCCTGCCTGGGGTGCTTACGGAAGGCAGTGATCGATGCTTTTCTCTCCCGTCGATCTCTCTTTCTCTCACTCTCTCCTTTTGTCTCTCTCTCTAAAAATCAACAGAAACATATCCTTGGGTGAAGATTAAAAAAATCATCTGGGGTATGTTCTAAAGGTGAGGATTATGGAGCCATGTGTTGGATCTCCTGAATTGGAATTTCTTTGTGCTGGGAGTTGATCATCTGAAGTTTAGCAAGTTCTTTCAAGTTATCTTTATGTGCCATAAGGTTTGAGAAGCACTCACATTTCATGTCCACGTGCTTTTTGGTACAAAATGCAACACTGAATTGATTTCAAATAAGTTTTAATAACTTTACCTTCTTATTGGGAATAATCAACAAGCTTAAAATTCATGGGAAATCATTAAATTATTTACATATTCTTTTTCTTATATTTCATTAATTAAATAAGCCATGTAAATAATACTGAAATAGATTTATTTGCCAAATACATATATAACTCTGACACCTTTTATTAAGAAGGAATAAAAACATAAACGATTTGTGGTTTTGACAGCATATAAAATTATAAGTATAAATCTTTAACAGAGGTGAAGTCATGATCGTTACTGAAAGACATGTTAAGAATATTGTCAACGATATACAGAAACATATTTATAATTATGAAGGAACTGTTCTTTGTGTGTTTATCTGATAAGGACAGCTAAACGTATTCTCCCCATACTTCTGTTACTATTTTTATACCGAGAGCAGCTATTCTAATTTATCTTTTGTGGCTGTTTCCCGTAAACACAGCTTGACTAAAAAAGCCTACCCCAAAATTGGTTGCTCAGACTTCTAGGAGTAATGATATTATATGAGTGGATAACAATGATTTTAAAACAATAACCACCACCCCAATCTAAGGCTCAAAATTGTAATGCCAGTGTTACAAAAGAAATGTTCCACCACAAAAAATATTTAGTCTTTTGGGGACAAAAACTTTTATGGGATGTCATACTCCTATCCTCATAATTTCATATGTTTTCTTTAATGACTCATTTGCTCTAGGAGTCTGAGTTTCTTTAGCAAACTGAAATGGTACTCAATTTTGTCAGTTTTTCTTTTACCATTTCTTTAAGTCACCCACCCTTCCTTCTAGACACACACACACACACACACACACACACACACACACACCCCTTCACATTCATTTGTGCAGCAGCTCATGTATCTGTTCAAATGGATCCTAACCTCTGCTATCCACATTGTATGAGGTCTGTTGCATTATTTAGTGGCAGCACCTGAGAACCCTAATAACCTCAAACTGTTGAATGAAGTTGCAGGCTATTTTTGAAATAATTAGACTCAAGTATTCTGGAAATTCAGAAAACTGAAATCATACCTTCTTGCTCTACTTTTAAGTGGCTGCAACCTCAAGATTTTAAAACAAATGATTATCAAACTGTACTACTTCACTATGTATGATTTTCCCTGATTCCTTAGGAAGAATAGCAAGAGACAGCTGTGGTGAATGAAGATATGTTGACCCAGACTGGTCAACTCAATATTCTGGACTTTTTCCCTTTCTATTAATTATGCTTCTAGTTTGACATCAAGTCAACCATAAAGCAGTTTAAACCATCAATATGCACCTGCCTGATGATAACTAGTCTTACTGATTTTTATATTTATTCAGATACCCACAAGTATATTAATTCAGCAGTATTATGCCAATTCATATACATTAATTAGTCTATGTAACCCAAACCCTGAGTTACCGCATTGTTTATAAATGCACCATACATTAATTGTTCCATTACCACAGATATCTGGTTTGTAATGTAACAGGATAGATATAAGCATTTGTTTCTCAAGTATGGGGAACATTTACTCATATCTTTATTGCACGATTTCTTTTCTTATAGCATCAAGTCTAAAATTATTTCTCCGTTACATTTAAGAAACCCCAACAATAGATTGACAGAGGGAAGTTTCTTATTATCAAAGATGGCCTGGAAATAAACATACTATCATTACCGTATTTATGGTTAGTTATTTAAATTGGGACATTCTTTTTGAAGAGTGTGTAGTGAAACTGATCCAATAACACATCTCTCTCTTCCCTGCATGTCTTTCTGATAGCTTCAAAGAAAATGCTGACTTTACATGTTGGGTAAGATGTAACTGAGTTTAAATGTTCTACTACACTGCTATTCATGATATCACTCAGTTCTAGAGAGGAGATGTTGTTGTTTATGGCAATAATATAAAATGCTCCAGAAAAATTTTCTGGGAGAAATTTTAGTCATTTGTTTTACCAACCCTGAAGATCCAAGCTCCAGCATGAACCTCCTTAAAGTGAATCTTCTCAGGTCAAGGAATATTGTTTGACATTCTGTTGGTCTCATAATGGTATTGACATGCTGATCATTCAGTGATCACTGGAGGGAGATCAGGACCAGACTTAACTCCTTACACATATGGCTGCATATTCTGTAGGTGCTTCTTTCACGTTTCTTGCCTGTCTTAAGTTCATTTCAATGATGGAGTGGTTCAGCGAAGCATAAACAATGCCCTGTTTGTTTTCCTCCGGACGCGGGTGAGAATAAACCACAGGCTCTTCCTGGAGCCTGCACCAAGGGTCATTATCATAAACACTAGTTTCTGACGTCAGTGTTTGGGAGTTTTGCCTGGCGTCCACTTCAATTTGCTCACGTCTAAAGGGCTGAGGAACATCATCAACCTATAAGAGAAAAAATGCTTTAGTTATCATTTAAAGATGTGATGATCCATATTTATTAGCCAACTATGAAGTGCAGGCTAAATTGAGTCCTTATATATGGAGAGAAATAATTGACTTTTCCTCACATACGCTGTTGATATATATATATGTGTGTGTGTGTGTGTGTGTGTGTGTATATATATATATC